TATATATACATACATATATATGGTGATGGAAAAATCCCTGTTTACCTGTACCAAACTGAACAACCTTTAGTGAGTGTGACATAAAGAAAATTGAGATAGATATGTGCTTTATTTCTTGCAAGAAATAGGAGCGTTCTACAACAGCACTCAGAGAGGTCCATTAGAGAGGCTTCAAGAACAGAGGCAACTCCATCACATATATATGAGTTTTACACAGCGTTTGGAAGCATCACAAGAAAGGAATGTGGCCCAATAACATTAGTGCACATGTGCTTCTCATTAGACAGAGGTCCTCGTCCTGGTACAGAGAGGCACGTTAATGAGGGAGGAGATTGTTCAAGGAGAGGTTGCGCTACATCTTGTTGCTGTGCAGAAAAGCTGAAAGTTCATACATTCAGTGTGACAAGGTTCAACTCATTCTGATGCATACTAAGTTGCAGTTTAATGCATAAAGAGTAAAACCAAAATTGCTTCCACAATATACTGTACATATATATATATACATACATATACATATACAGTTGGTTCAGATGGTTCAGGTTGGATACCAATATATATAAGAATTTAACAGAACCATAAGGGAAATTTTATTTAACCTGCTCTGTTACTGCCTGGTTAACAATATGAGAACAAAAATGAAACTAAGAGTGCTTGACAGCTGAAAATGATTTACCATTTTGGAAAATTGGTTCTCCATTTGGTACTGGAAGATTGTTCAATGTCAAGTTCCTGTGATGAATTGAAACCAAATCTAGACCCAGCATCATCCTCAAAGCCTGAAAAGAATAGCCACAGATTCATAATAATATAACATGCATTTACAAAAAGTTAAAGTTAGATTTTTTGCCCCCAAATGGAAACTTGCCTTGGGCAAGGTGCTACACTCTGTTGCACTACATATTGATACACCACACACTAGCCATAAGACATTTGACCAAACATTTTATACTATCAAAAATACATTTTACCCTAATAACACTCAACATAGAGTCCTGTGACTGTATATTAACTATTCATAAGATATTAATAAAAATACATCAACACTAGTACATACTTAATACCGCACATTTTGTTATCAGTAGATTTTGCCATCATTCTGCATCTAATTGGCCAATAGAAAATCATACCCATAGCCACAGGCCAAACTGGCTTTATGCCACTTCCATTACCACTTAATAAACTCCATCTCTGGAATCTGAGAAAATTTCATACCTTACTGCATTGTTCTCTCCCATCACAGACCGTACTGATGTAGACCACCCATGTTCCATCAGAAGATGAGGCCAGCAGGTAAGTGCAGCTGCCTTGGAAGTGGAAATGCTTCCTGTCAAAAGTTCGGTAGTGGGCTCCACCCCAGGACATGCAAGTGGCTGAACCCTGTGCCATCCTGGGGCTACCCAGCAGACTGCTACGCACCAGTGGGGAGTACTGGGAGTCTGGAGACAAAGGAATAAGGAGGACAAAGTGATGTATGTGATTTACATATAACTTAATGGGATGCAGTGATAAGAAATGCAAACAATGACATCTTAAAGAAGATAAAGCGTGAGATACAGTATACAGTATAGAGATTTGGGGACCAAGAACTAAATAAAGGACATTATAACAAGTCACAGATTATATGGTCACAATTTATGAATGTTGTATGAAATTTTTATGCTTTTTTAATCAAAGAAAACATTTGCAATCTGGGCCACAGGTATCATTTACAAGTATTCATTACTCTGTTGTGTGTCCAGAATTTGCCAGCAGCAGTGTGGCACCTTGCTTATGCTATAGGCTCTTTTGATACACAGGGTACATCTCAATTCTCTCACCTGCATCCACATTTCCCTCATGTGTTTTAGGAAGGAAAAGATGCAAGGAAAAGATGGACGAGAAAGAGATGGAAAGAGGACACGAGGCATCCTTTCCTCTGATGCATACAATCACCAAAAGAATTCCAATAAAGGAGAATGTTGGTCCCTAAAATAATTTCACTAAGGATGGTCTCTTGTATTCTTGCCAAGTAAATTCATTTTTAAAACTGATCTTATCATGATAAATAATATACACTGCTCAAAAAAATAAAGGGAACACAACATAAGACATCCTAGATCTGAATGAATGAAATATTCTTATTAAATACCTTGTTCATTACATAGTTGAATGCCTTATTTTCCCTTGTGTTCCCTTTATTTTTTGAGCAGTGTATATATACAGCATGTTAGCATGTCAATGAGAATCTTTTGGTGGCAGCACCTTTTACAGTGTCTTAATTACATTTATTTTTGAGTTTGATAACTTTTCATTGTATGAAAACGTAGCTAAAATGTTTTTTTTTGTGAAATGTTGTATGGTATAAAATATAAAGAAAATGGCTTGGACTTGTAGCTAATCATATGAATGTATGTTCTCTGACCAGGAAGGAGAGCGTAGGTACAAGACAAGCAGGTCTGATCAGAAGCATTTCTCCAGCTGAGTCCCCACAGGCTGCTGCAGCAATGCTCCAGGGGCATGAGGGATGAGTTTTGAATCCCAGGGAACTCCTCACAACTCCACGTAGAGTAACACTGACCACGCACACCCACACCTTGGAGAAAGAAAACAAAAAGATTTGTATACCTTTATTCACATGGAGTTTGAGAAATGCCTTTTCATTACTTCCACTGGAGCCTCAGGGCCCTCACCATTTATTCCTCAGCAGGGGCAGTTATTCACCTTTTAAATTCAGTATATAGCACATTAACAAATTTCAATTTACTGAGATGTGTTACAGTAAAATTACAAATATTTCCAAGTTGTCAGCAAACCTATATTTGGTGTCTCATTTGAGATATTAAGCATGCTGCATGTATACTGAATATGCAGCCAATTTGTTGGATTTGTGTCCTCACCTTCAGAGCAGTGTGGTCCACCCCAGCCCTCACAGCATGTCCTCACGGTTTTGTTCACCATCTGGCTCTCCATCTCTGGGGGTCTGATGTAAACGTGAAAAATAAATATCGGAATATTATATACATTAAATATATATATATATATATTCATTTAACTGCTGCTCTAGTCACTGTGAACGAAGGTTTTTTTATCACATTCTACTTCTACTGGAGTAGAAAAACTTGACTGTGAGTCACTATTTAGGTACAACATGTCACCATTTATTGTAAATCAACTGGATACTGTACTATGTTCAAAAGTACAATGTGTGCCTGTCAGGGACCAAACAGTAAGGCAGAGGACACAGCTTTTAAAGTTCAAAGAAATGGGCTTTTTATTAACCCAAAAAATTAATATCAGATAAATTGGGCCCTAAAAGAGGTCAACAAAAGATAAGGAAACTCAAAATACAGCAAACTGAACTGTCTGATACCACAACAAAAACCAATGACTAACAAGTGCTACACACAGGAGAACTTATATACTGGCTGCCCAAAACAATAGCATACACAAGTAGACCAAAGACACTATCAAAATAATCAACTATCCATCCATCCATCCATTTTCCTCCGCTTATCCAGAACCAGGTCACGGGGGCAGCAGTCTAAGCAAAGATGCCCAGACTTCCCTTTCTCCAGACACTTCCTCCAGCTCCTCCGGGGGAACGCTGAGGTGTTCCCAGGCCAGCTGAGAGACATAGTCCCTCCAGCGTGTCCTGGGTCTTCCCCGGGACCTCCTCCCGGTGGGACATGCCCAGAACACCTCCCTAGGAAGGCGCCCAGGAGGCATCCGAAACAGATGCCCGAGCCACCTCTGTTAATGTGCTGTTTCTGAAGAGAAAAGGGAAGTGGTAGGATTTAAACTGCTGTTTAGTTAAAAGTGGGGGCTATCTAAATCACCTAGTGTGTTTAGGGTGTTATAATTCTCTTTTAATTGCTACATACACCATTGTTTAGAGAGAAACCTAACTATGGCGGAGAAACAGTAGTTTTATTTACAAAAATTCAAATTAAAAGATACTGTTTTAATCCAAACATAACAATTTAGAGTTACATTATAATAGGGGAGAAACAAACGCCTTTTCCAAATTAAGAGAATTAGCTGGTTTATTTTTATTCTGAGTTTAAGTTAGTTTTGTCTTATCTCTAGCAAAACTACTGGGGCTAAACTTACTTATACTATGTGGGGTGGAACAGCCATGTTACGTCTGTGACTCGGGCCGCCCCATGTACCTCGGTAGCAGGCACAGGTAGCAGCTCCGCCCCCACACAGGTGAGGGTGCATTCCAGGCGACGAGGCACACCTGCTCTCCATTATCAGAGCAGTATATAAAGTCAGCGTTGGTGCGTCCTCGTCGCCAGATTATTATGTATTATTCTGGTGGTAACCACTTCCATGTTCATGTTCAAGTTTATGGACTATTGTTTGCGCCACGCTCCTTCGACAATATTGTGGACTATTATTGTGCATTAGTCTTTGGTAACGGTTTTCGTGCCCTTCACACGTGAAAAGGGGTTTTTGGTTTGTTGGACTGCTTTCTATAAATTGCTCCCACTCTCAGAGCTCCTGGGCTATCCTGGAACGGCGGGCGCCGGCCCTCCTCGCCCCCCCCCGCGG